CTGCACTGCCCTTACATAGCAGTCGTGTTAGTAAACGGTCCCGTATACGCAGCGGAAACAAAAACAAATAATTCAGGGATCGTTTACATGAGCCAAGATCAAGGGTATAATTTTACAATTTTATCATAATAAGAATTTGCAGAAATATTAAACATGAGTTAAGAGAAACAAACGCATGTTGGAGGCTCCACCAAATTTGTTAACGAATGTTTTGCTACCGATCCAAGTGTAGGATCGAACCCATGTAGTCCACACGAAGACAATCTCAAAAGAACCAAAGAGGGATTTGCTAGATCCTCTTTGGCTTCAAGATTAAGAAGAAAGGAAAATCAATTAAATTGATTTCTAGGCAAAATGAATATGCCGTGGGAGAGTCAATATTGGGGCTACTGTGTTTTTGGTTTTACAAAGAAAATGAACTAAAATAAATTAACACACTTTCTTTTACATTTAATTTTTCTTTTATAGTAAAACCAGTTTGCCCTAATCCCATATGGAATAGGCTTGGACTCCAACCCAAACGCCCCGTGTTGCCAAACACTCCCAATTTAATATTTTTATTTTTCCATCATTATCTCAATTAAAATCAATTAATATATATTTAAATATATATTAACATTTAACAATAATGATAATATATTTAAATATGTGCGAACACACATTTAAACGTAATTTCACTTATTTAATTTTTCTAACAAATTAAATAAAGGCTACGACCTCAGCAAATTTAATTGCACTGTGAAATTACCAAAATACCCTTTCGCCTAAAAAGACGAAAACGCCCTTCTTTCTTCTTGGCTCTTAAATTATCTTCTATGTGTGTGACCCATAGGCTCCTCATCATACCGGTAGTGTATAGTATCGCGATTAACACCAATTAATCGTCTCACTAATACACAGACCAAGATTGGCCCCTAGCAAGGCATCATGGCCACCCGATAGATTCGGATTCAGCAAAGTAGCTACCTGTCAACGATATGGTTACCGTACAATACGATCCTTTCATCATACGTTATCTCGACGAGACGAAGGCATAGAAATAGTGTCAACCTTCGGTTACTCTCGATATTATATATTCAGTTTCTGGACCAATGACCCGTATTATAATCTGGATAGAGCAACAACTCAATCCCACTGTGGCCACAGTTTTAGTGTCATTGCCATATACTGAATTGCGCCGTGAGATAACTTCTCCCGTACCCGGGAGTGATGAATCCTTTGTCAATCCACCATAGTCTTGATACACTCCTTGATATAGCCAATCACCACCGTACTGACAGCTCTGAATAGAACTGCGTTAGGCTAGTGTCAAACTGTACCAATCGGTGCACAAGGCGCTCCGGTGATCTCAAGTCTAAGGATCACATGCACCACCATTCGTTAGAGGATTTGTTCCATAGACACTGGGGTTACCATCCATATGGAATCCTCTGGTGGGTCAGTCCAGTGAACTTGCTGCGGTATATCCGCCTACAACAAGCACCCATGTGTTGCACCAGGTTGTCACCAAACAACCTTGACAAGTGAGATCAGTCACTGCCTTTCGACAGGGTCGTTCAACACTATGATAGCCTTACCGTATTATCTGTGCCCTTACTTCAAAATAATACTGGGGCTACGGACGTTTCTAGAATGGCCACCATATGTGCTCATAGGGTTCTCACTATCAAGATTTGAAACACTTGATACCCTCGTCACGGTTCTACCATTCTAAGGACATATATCAATACATATTGCAATAATAATGATTTACGCATTATAGAATAAGATGCCTTTTATTATTGATTAATGAACATTATTACAAAGAGTCAATTCTACAATAATTGATTGGCTCTAGGGCATCTACTATAACAAGTCGCGAGATACGCGTTGAGTTCCACTTACTTCCCTTATCCCCATCGGGGTGGGAAACTTCATCTTTAGATGGTATATTGAGATGACTGCCTTGAAGCTTCGTAGTGGAGGTCATCCCAAGATGCCATTGAAAGTGGAAGGATAGTCTACTACTAAAAACTCAGTCATTTTGGTCAGCTCGTTGGTTTTTCCCAACGTGACCAGGAGCAAGATCATCCCCTTGGGAATCAAATGATTGCCAGTGAAACCGTACAAAGGGATAGAGGTAGGCTTCAGATCTGCCTTGTCTAGTTTCATTTTCTTGAAGGCTTGCTAAAATAAGATATTCACGACGCTTCCATTGTCTACCAGTATCCTGTGGATTTTGCACCGACCTATTTTAGGCGTGATGACGAGAGTATCCTTATGGGGATGATGAAATCGCACCGCGTCTTTCTGAGAGAAGGTGATTTCCTCATTTATACGAACCTTGGCGGGTCGCGGCATTGTGCTCATGACACTTATAGGGTCATGATGAGCTTCCCAAGCATACCTTTCCTAGGCACCTCGAGAGTTCCCCGTAGGGTGTAATCCTCTAAAGATGATCCCCACACTATAAAGACCTTTGCGACTACGACGCCTCTTCCTTGGTTCATTTTGTTTTTTCTCCCGAACGGGAGCTGAGTCATCAACATACTCTTTGAAGTGCCCTTATTTAATGAGGTCCTCAATTGCTTGCTTGAGGGCCTGACACTCATCGATGTGGTGCCCATTATCCCGATGATAACAACAATACTTTTTATTGTTTTTGACTGAGGGGGGATTCTTTATGGGCTCGGGCTCTCTGAGCAAACCTGTCTCCTCTTGATTTATCCAGAATAGCTGATACCGAGGCATTTAGAGGAGTGTATTGACTATTGTTGCGATCGCGATGAGGAACTAGGGCATAAGATTTCTTGGGTTCATACCATTGCTTCTTTTCTTTTTGTTGATCATCATTAGCCCATCTGTGATCAACCCCCCTATTCTCCCCCTGGTTGTGAGCACTACCTGATAGATCGGGGTCATGGCGACTAAGAGCTGCCATATAACTTTCGATTCAGAGGTACTTTTCAGTAAGGTTGTAGAAGCGAGTGAGGGAAACATCATCCTCAGAATGCAGTTCCTTTCATAAGCTTGTCTGCGGGTGAACTCCCACAACGATAAGAGTTTGAATAGACTCTTCGGCAGTATGAGCCACTTTGTGGAGCTCATTGTGGAACCTGTCTATATAAGATTGGAGGGGTTCATCCCTCTTATGCGGTATATTGCTCAGATAGCTTAGCGGCATTGAGAACTTTCTGTTTGCCTAAAAGTGCCTCAGAAATGTCGAGTTCATTTGAGGCCATGAGCCGACCGATCCTGCTGGAAGTGACTTGAACTAGCACTTGGCATGGGTGGTAAGGGTTACTGCCAAGCAACGACATTTTGCCAAGTCAGAGACTTGGTGGAGTTCCATGAGGTCGTTGGACTCGTATAAATAATCCTACGGATTGGAATTCCCATCGAATGCTCGCATGTCGGGCATTCTGAATCTAGATAGGAGAGGGGCAGCTAACACTATCGGAGAAAAGAGGGACGCATCTACGATCTGCCTTTGCTCATTCTGTTGAGCTTTAAACTAATTTAGAGCTCACTGTAATTCCTCAATTTGGGGCAGCGGAGCTACCTGGGGATCACTTTCCGCAACGTGGGTTCGACCCTCACAGTTGCGGTTAAGGAAAGACCACAAATCGTACTCTTCCTTACCTCGATCGGAAGCTCTGACCAATCTCGGTACATGCTGGCTAGAGCCGTGTGATTGCATCGTGTGATTCGGGAAGTCTTCCTGACCTTCGCAGTGGTACGAACTGACTCGCAGAGGATGGGAATCCCCTGCATGATGACGACCGAATTCGTCATTCTGGCGATATTGGGAATCTCCCCGCCTTGCACTTTTATGGGAGTGCCCATGCGTCGTGGCGCGGGACGGCTCATGCTGCGACATATCGTCAAGTCCCAATGCCACGGGTAATCTACCTAGGGCACAATTGGTGTTCACTAGTCCCTCAGAGCCCTTGAGTCCGCTGTGCACCACTTGCTTTCCCTTTCTCTGATGCGCTACAGTGCGCGCGGTATGGGCTTTCACCCTTTTTTGTGCTTTCACGCGACCTGCAGGCGTTTTAGGCAGTGGCACTGCCTCATTGGATTTGGGTGGCATGACCCGATCCAATCGATCTAGCCTTTGGCCGACCGTTTGAAGTGTATTATTGAACCTCTTCAGGTAACTCATGACGACTGGGTCGAGTCACGCTTTTGAAGGAATATCGCCTGTGATATTCTGTTGGATTGACGGCATTTTGGGAGAAGTGTCCTCCTGGATCTAGGGGTTTTCTTCATTGTCATGATTGGTTCGCTCAGATTCGAAACCGCGAGCCATTTGCTATTGTGGGACCGATTAGTCATAGATTTTTCTGATGAAGAGTTGGTACTAAATCAGACCCTCTTTCTAGCACCAAACTGTTGATGCTTGATTTTGACATCAACTACTCGCACGTGTAAAATGCTAAAATGACTTAAAAGTCACATGTGATATGAGGAGATTGAATCAAATAAAAGGTGAAGAGCAATATTTAAAGTGGTTCGGATGCTTTAAAGTGAATCCTACGTTCATTGTTATTGTATTAATAAGAGAGAGTGATCAGGTCACGTTCAGCGAGCTGAGTTACAGTTTAGAGAGAGAGAGAGAGGGAGGGGGAGAGAGAGAGAGAGCTATTTCAGCGTAAAATTAGCTATTTTTTCTAAATGAAAGGGAAGTCCTCTATTTATAGTGGGAAAGTTCAAGGTAATGATTATGAAAGCTGTAAGTGGGTAGGTGCCGTGCAAATCCTTTCTTTGCGTCCCATTGATTACTTGCCCAAGGGATTTCCTCGATTAGAGCAGGGATTTGACACGTGGGCGATCTCCAGCCACTTGCTGGCCTGGCACTCACCTGTTGCACTGAAAGGAGCCATGCCACTTGCGCTAGGTGCGACGTGGCCGCACTTGGACGGTGCAGAACCCTTCTGAACTCTAACCATCCTTTACTAACGAGGCTCCACGTCAGCCCTACTTTTTTTGGCATAACATACCCGATTATGGCAACCGTATTATTTATGGAAAAATGTTCTGACTAAGGAATATCCTCGTGTGAGAAGGAAAATCCCGGTACCACCGACGATGGGCATTTCTCGTTCTTCTCTCATCACTGGATTCCGACCGAGGACACTGAAGGAGCTGCCATTGTATGTTCCACTAGTGAACACATAAGTCAATGACATCAGAAGACTAATCTCTTTATGCTGAGATGACATAGTGTAGATCCCTTGGGCATGTTCGAGAACTGTCGAATTCGGGTTGGATGAGACGGTAAGTGGGTTATCTATAACAAAAATGGATCCGTACGTGGCGGTAACTGGATCCGGGCCTGTGAAATTGGATCTAGCCACAACCTGGACGGTTGTCGGGTTTGGGCCGCCAACCATGTCATGCATGTAGAATTCTATGTGGGTGACGTTCGATTTATGGGCTTCTGTTGTGTAAAAGTAAAACGGCATAAGAAGTAAAACAAGAAGCAGAAATTTGGTTGCCGAAGCCATTGATAACAATAACGAGCTCTCTGTAATGATGCAATTTTAGAGAAGAGAAGTATACTTTCTCGTGTTGATAATTTGAACAACGTCAAAGAGTTTAAAATTGTATATTGAATTTTGGGCCATAGTTTGTTTCTCTTAATTCAAAGTGGTGGGCTTATAGATATTGTTGTGTGATTGATGTCTTTTGAATGGATTGGTAATGGCTTATCAAAATCAGCGTGTTTTGATGTGAGTAACTGAAAAAGCTCCAAGTGATAATAGATTTAGATTTTTTGTCATTGTCAGTCACCTAATATGATTATATGAACTTGAATTTTAATCTCGTCTGACTAATTCTTTTTTTTCTTTTCAATGACCAGAGGTGTCTGAACTAGCTTACGCGTATCTCAATTAATCCCTCAAGACCTTAGAACTACTGGTTGGGTAAGAGCTCCAATGGCTATTCCCATTAACAACCGAGGAAATATTTGAACTTAGAATCTCTTAAGTAATACACCCAAGAGACAAGAGTACCTATCGAATCACTCGATCACCCATAGATAGTTCGTTTGAGTAATTATTGCCTCTTGAACCTTGTGATTTTGGTTTATATACCAAACTGTCAATGTAAATTAAGTGTGATTAGATGATGGATTTATGCAACTTTGAGATTAGAGATTTAAACATAGATTAGATTGAGTATATTACCTGGTTAAATCCTTTCATCTAATTAGTAACTAACAAACGTAAAGATTTTGATCATATATGAATAAAGATTAATAATAAATATCAGATTAATTATTCATTATTGGTGAGGTTTTTAATTTTATTGACGAACATGGTGTCATGTGAGGTGTATTGCTAGCATAGTTAACGCAATAACATCTCTCTATATGCATATCGTATTAATTATCTATATTTAATTAGTCTTTATAGCACATTAATATTTGTTGGATTAGTTGTACAATTAGTATAAATTTTCATAATTATTAATTAATTACCCATAAATGCAAATCAAATATTAGACGGACTTTGAATTACAAAATTTTACAAATTGAACCTTATTTTAGCTCAACACTTAAGACGTCTAATGTACATAATCAAAATCATTTAAAAAAGAAATAAATTTTCTAAAAATTAAGAGATAATAATTATCACATACTATTTTATTCATAAAATACACCCAAACAAAAAAAAAAAAAAAAAAACCAAAAATTAAAGTGTGAAGAAGAAAATATTAGATGGGCTAATTGGGCCCATAAAGTTTTTGTAAATCTTTCTGCTCTCTGTGCCGTTTGAGGTCCAATTCATTTGTAGTCCAATCCGTTAATTCCCCGCCAAAGTATGTGCAGTGACTTAAAATCAGAAATTCAGAAACCCTTGAGTTTCCTTTAAAATCTGTTGAAATCAAATGCAGTGAGAGATCGAAATGGAGAAGTGTGTGACAAAAATCGAAGTCCGTACACTGAACGGTGAAACGTCTACCGTTTCGGTGTCGTCTGATAAATCCATTCACGAACTCAAGCTTCTCTTGAAGCTCAGTTTCCCTCCCGCCTCTTCCTCCCCCAATTTCCACCTCTTTTTCAAGGCAACTACTCTCTTCATTTATATTTATCTACATTTTATTTGTATTTTATGCGTGTATCCTCTAGGTTTTCTAATTTTGAATTTTAACTAATTTTAATTTGATTTTGCTTGAAAAGTTTTAATTCTGAAATTTTATTGTAGCAATAACAACGTAATTATTTTATCAGGGTGTTAAGTTGAGCTTGCAGAGTCAAGTAGGCAGTTTAAAGATGGAGCCCGGAGAATTCATTGTTCTAATACCCTTCACTAAGAAGGATAGGCATCAAACACCCAAACATGATTTTTCTGAAACTTCTTCAAATGCTGCCGAACAAAACTCAAGTTCGAAAAAGTTTGTTGATTCTACATATCTTGAAATGATGCAAGATTTAGCTTCTTTCCGTGAAGAGGAAACAAGTAATATTGATAATAATCAACCAAAGTGCTATACGGATTTTGGAAATGTAAGTAGAGGTCCTTTAGAGGCAAAACGCAAGAGAGTTGTTGATTGTGATAGTCAACAGGGGGGCCCTTATGATTTTTTATGGACTGTTTGGCGGTCTAAGAACAAGAATGCTTTTGAAGGACAGAATTCTGAAAAGTTTGTTGAGGTTTTACAGTCGGTGACTTGTTTATTGGATCCGCATTCAGGGAAGTGTATGTTGTTAAGAGAAGCTAGTATGCGAAGTAGTAATGGTGGACTGTGGGAAAGCAATGATAATGATTGTTCTTGCTTGTGTCCGGTTTGGTTGAAGAAGATTATGGAGGCATTTTCTTTTTTAAGCATCTTTTGTGCATATCTTCATTTGCGAAAAGAAAAGGTCACCTTGTCTCGTGTGAAGGATGCACTGAACCAGCTTGGGAAGTTTGGAGTTCGAGTCAGTATTGAGGACATTGAGCATCTTTCTGTTCTTTGTCCTAAGGTAATTGTTTTAATTTTCTAGAATTATATCAACTGGAGTACTTACGAGATTTTATTACTAACATGTTAGGTAAGAGGTCACTGATTTCATATGGGTTACCCCAGTAGAGCAGGTTCCTCTGTTAAGTTCCCAATGTCAGGCTATTTGACAACTAGAGCATATAATTTGATAATTTCTTGATTGTATTTTCATCTAGCGGCATACAGGATTCTACGTTATTTGGCCTAACAAAACCTGGCCTTTGTTACTTTTATGTTTTCCAAGTTGGGATTTGGCATCTGTTGACTGGGTATTATGATGTAAAAAAAGAAAAAAAAGAAAAAAAAGGGAAGTAAATCAACATTAAAACCAGTTAAGCTGGGAGTATCTGTGTGGAAATTAGGGTGTTGGAGGTCGGAGGGCTTTAGCATTGGTGATCAAAATGGCATTTGAAGTTGATTTTGTGTTTTCTGTTATTAAGAAGGTTTCATGCATGGTCATGCATTATTTGAGAGGATTTTAGTTTCTCTGCGAAGCTGCTTTTTTCTGTTGGACAAGGTTACTGCTTTAAGATGCTTTGTTATTATTTGGCCTGGTTTTGCTCCTATGATTTGCCCAAATATTGGTATCTCTCTCTTAGTTGCAATTACGCTATGAAATACTCTAATAAGCTTTCACTGAAGGAGGATTACTCTCTGAGCTCTTTCTTCCATGTCATGATGACCAGCACATGTAGTTTACTGAAAGTGATTAACCTATTTCTGCATAAGGCCCTTATTTCTTAAAACATTTTATTTTATGTGGATATTATCAATTATGTGCCTGAATCACTGTGCTGATTCTTAGGGTGACCTTTTCTTTTCTCTCCTTTTTTTTTTTGGTTCAGTTTGTGCCAAAGACCTATTTTATTCCAAGCTCTGCCCTTTGTTCATTTGAGCTGTGATCCAGGGGCAGTGGAAAGTGCTTAGCCCCCTCTCTTCCCCTTGTTTACCTTTTTCCTGAAGCATAGGCTTGTGTCCATCTCAGGTGGTACAGTTTGCTAATGATGATATGGAGTCTGAAAATTATCGCAATTCCATTGTTATCATCAATGCTCCAACTGAAGAAAGATATCAAGTAGAAGTCAATCTAAGAATTGGTATTGTTGAAACTCAATAGATATTTTATTCTAATTTTGAGCCTAATTACAATCAGCTTCCTAATGAGGAAAAATATTTCTGTTTACTTTTGCCTCCTGTTCAGGCCAGAAAGACATGTCTTTATCCAAGATATTTAATGCATTGAAGAAATGGGAGAGTTCCTTCAAATCTAATCTGTGGGAGGCTATTAAACTGTTAATGGTATTTTCAAGTTCTTTCATCTCTATATACCATGAGTCTATAAATGCCAATTTATTTGTCAATTTCTTTTAGAAAGTCTCTTATATGTCAGATTTATGTTTTAGTTCACAGTTCTAATTTCTCATCACTGGATAACGATTTCAGTTAAGTATTAGAAAATGGTATATATGATTGATTTTGTAGAAGAGAAAGCTGAGAGAACTCAGTATTAGAAATAGTAAGGGGTGAATGTTGAAACACTTCATGTTATTTGTTTAAAGGGAAAATATTCCTATATGTGCCACGAAGCCATAAAAGAAAAGAGAGCGACGTAAGAATGAGCAAAAAAGAAAGAAAAAAAGAAGATGAAAAGTAACTCCAATGGCTTTTCATTAACCCTAAGTGGCTCTAAATCATACTTCTATATGATTCTATAGACTAAAAGTGTTTTGAGCTTTCGATTTACACTCTGCAACATTAATATTATTCATAAATAGCTATATGCATATATACATTAACACATGCATATGTATACGTGTGTCTGCATGCTCATTATACACACATGAGATTATGTAACTTAGGATACAATAAAAATAATTTGACACCTACAAAGACATACATGGATTTTTGGATGAATGGAGTATTTTTTCTTTCAGTGTAAAATTAGAAAGAGAGCCATATCCCTCTCCTTGGAGGATTTGCTAATATTTGCCAAGGAACATGGTACTGTTGTCAGTGAAAATGGAGGAAAACGACCTAGTAGAAACTCGTCCTCTGCTTCAAGTTCTCATGAAAGACGATGTAATGTATGTATCTATCTTTATATATACATTTTAACTGGTTGTCTTGTTTCTCTATACCTTCTTTAAGATGTAAATGCGAACTCTATGGGAACAGAAAATAAGAAAGAAAACAAAAACCAAATGGTATGTTATGGAGGCTCATAATTAACTAATTATGCTGCTGTGGTTAGGGTCAGTGATACTGATGTTATACTCGCTATGACTTTATGCAACAAATTCTATATTTAAAGTATTACTGCTGTTCTGTTGTTATATAATATTCTGGCTATACGACTATTTAAATATTGAAGTTCATCAGGCATAAAGATTCATTTTGTGCTGATGTATGGGACTATAATCATGATTAGAATTAGAAGGTTATATGGCTTCTCATTTTCTTTGAAGAGCAAATGGTCTTATTTGTTCAGACCATTTGCTCTACAAGGTGTGAGTTCTGCTAAGAATTTTTGCTTAGCATGTACTGAAATTGCCCATGGAGTTTGTTTAAAGTTAAATAGCAGAGATCATGGATTAGTACTTAGTCATTGACTAGCTCTGATGTGTAGGTATGGGTCTGGGCAGGTATTACCTGATATTTTCTGTCTAATATACACACAAAAATATATATATATATATATTTGTCTTTTTATCCAGAATATTGTTTGAGTATATCTAAGAGACCTGAATCACTATAACAACTTCTTGATCTAGCAGGACACCAGTCAATTGCTACCTTTGGAAATGATTGAACATTTACGGAAGGGCATTGGATCTCATGGACAGGTTATATCTATGCTTTTCTTTTAAGTAAATACTTTAGGAATTAATAAGATAAAAAAAAAAAAAAAATGTCTACAACCGACTAGATATCTTTGGACTTAGCACCCTTACACTTGAACAAATATGTCAATCTTTTTTCCAGAAAGTTACATAAGAAGTATTCAAACATGTAATTTCATGTGAAATTTAGTGCATTTTTCTTAACATCTTTGACTGAGACGGCTGTTGTGAGTACCATTTTCTGGTGTTTGTCTGATGCAGATAGTACATGTTGAAGACATCAATCCAAGGAAAGCTGTTCATGTAGAAATCCCTAATGAACTCTCAGATAATGCAAAATTGGCTCTTAAATGTATTGGGATTTCTAAATTATATAGCCACCAGGTATGGATGTTTTCTTACAGGCCATTCTTTTGAACCTACTATTTTCTGAAGATGGTTCAACTCTTGTTATTTCTGTAGGCAGAGTCCATAATGGCATCCCTTTCTGGGAAGAATGTTGTTGTGGCAACAATGACATCTAGTGGAAAATCTCTTTGCTATAACCTGCCAGTTCTGGAAGCGTTATCCCAAAATTTGTTATCATGTGCCCTATACTTGTTCCCAACAAAGGTTTGTTTATTGTCGGCATTCTGTTCTTCCCAGATCCGTTGAATTTTTCTCCTTTCTTGGGAATTCTTTGGGGAAATTGATATCCAAATTCTTCATGCATGTAGGCCTTAGCTCAAGATCAACTAAAAGCTTTGTTAACTATAATAGAAGCATTTGGTGCCTCCATTAATGCTGGGATATATGATGGTGACACTTCTCAGAAGGACAGGATATGGCTGCGTGATAATGCTAGACTGGTATTTAGTAAGTTTTAGCTGTCTTAGGTAGGACTTTGCTTCAGCTGACAACCTCCAGTTGAATGCTGAAATTCTTGTCATCTGGCATGCAGTTGATAACCAATCCTGATATGCTGCACATGTCAATCTTGCCATCACATCGACAATTCAGCCGAATTTTATTGAATCTTAGGTAATCTTTGTTGCAATATGACTATGGATTTTGGTCTACAGAATTCATCCTTAAGTTGTTCTCTTTGTAGCATCATGTCTCTTTCAATGTCAATTACATTTATACTTGTTATGACAGAAAGTTTACTTTATAATTTAATTTGTTAGGTATGTAGTGGTTGATGAAGCTCATGCTTATAAAGGAGCATTTGGATGCCATACTGCTCTTATATTAAGAAGACTACGTCGGCTTTGCTCTCACGGTACCATTTTCTCACATTTTTCTTTTTGTTTTTCTTTGACTTAGAGAATTGAATCCAGTATTCTTGATGTGCAGTTTATGGTAGTGATCCTTCTTTTGTATTTTCTACTGCAACTTCTGCTAATCCTCAGGAGCATTGCATGGTATGGCTTTTGGAGACTAATTACATAATTTGTTTTTGTTTCTCTTACTGTTTGTTATATATATATATATATATATATAGTGCTGCATTTTTTCTTTGCTTGTTCCCTTTTGTTTTTTCTTCTTTCTCTAGGAAAAGTTCTATGTGGAAAAATCATATTGGTTCCACAATATCTTTGAAATTTTAAAAAATATAAAATACTTTTGTCTACAATATAATGTTGAATTATTATTGTGTTACAAACTAGTTCGTGTTATTGCTAATTTTATAAAACTGACATTTTATCCTTACTATTGGTAGGCAAAATAAGGGTTTCAACACCACTAATTTCAAAAGCTTAAGCTCTTAGGAAATGAACAATAGTATTTAAAGTTTAAACTTCAACCCTCCTCTTTAGGTGCATGACTAAATTTAATAAGGACTTGTGTTATAAACGTATTCAGCCATACTGCTAGATCCATTGAAGCATTATGGTCACCCAGCTTTGCGTGACAATCTAATTAATAGAATTGAATGCTTGAACATATGACCTTTTGGTCAACCTGGTGTAGATACCATGGTGAAACTCTCCTTAGCTAATGGATCCTAAATTACTTGCCATGACATTAATGGTATTACCATGCACATAATTATCTAGATTCCACTAATTATAGGTAAGTTGAGATGTTTTTCCGATTCGTTGTAGAACCTTTCTTAGTAGTGTGTGACTTGTTCACCATATGGCATTCTCATTTTGTGTGACACCTCAAACTTACTTTTGTTTTGGAGCACTGGGAGGAGGGTGAATAAAACTTTCACAAGGGCAATTTTTAGGACATGAAATGATTAATATATAGGCATCTATACTTGGTGGAAATTTGTTCGAGGTCTGATTAATTTTTCATAGGCATCTTTTATGAAATCTTAGATTCTGTCATATTTTATTTATTTAGTTTTTTTGTATACATGGACTGGAATGAATCTATTATTATGCTGCAGGAACTTGCAAATTTGTCAACATTGGAGCTGATTAAAAAGGATGGAAGTCCTTCATCTAGAAAGCATTTTGTCCTCTGGAATCCTACTCCAAATACAAGGACTGTAGGTTCTTTGCTAATGTACTTTGACAATATAGAGAAGTAAATGAGCCATGTTAGTGTTTGTTGACCTAGTTCTACTGCTGCCCAATTTCAGGTGTTGAACAAAATTCAGAGTAACATGGATGATACAAGCAATACTTCCCATAAAAATCCGAGGTAGCATGATTAACCTTCTATATAAAAAAGAAAAAAGAAAAGTGCCAGTAAAAAATTTTGGATTGAAATTATTGTTATGTATCTGGCTTAAAACTTTAGTCCCTTATTTTTGCATTGCTTCTTTTTTTCAGTCCAATATCAGAAGTGTCATACCTCTTTGCAGAAATGGTTCAGCATGGACTTCGCTGCATTACTTTTTGCAAGTCGCGTAAACTTTGTGAGCTTGTTTTATCTTACACGTATGTTTTGTCAATTTATTGATTATCTACCCATTTGAGTTTTGATGTTTTTGGTTTTGCTTATACCTTGGTTTCAATTTATAGTCAATTTGCTAAAACCATACTAAATGCTTGTATAATAATGATGTTTTGGGATGATACATATAGGCGTGAAATTCTTGAGGAGACAGCACCTCACCTAGTCAATTCCATATGCGCTTATCGTGCTGGCTATGTTGCTCAGGTTAGTGTTGTTTTCTTGCAATTTGCTATGATTAGGTGATGCTATCATTCTTTTTGCATTATTCCATATGTTGGTCATCTCCATGTGCATAAAGCTGTCCTGTTAATGTTGATGTCAACATTTTGCACAAAATCCTTTCATCTTTCTTTGTCAATCTAGGGTTTCGAACTCATAATTTTACTTAGCAATGGAGCATTAAGTCCCTGCATTTTGCTTTATAAAATCTGATGCTCTGGATCGTAACTCATACAAGTAAACTAGCTACCAGATTGTCTAACCAACTACGGAAGGTTACCAAATAAATTTCTCAATTAAGGCAGCCCCATTACTACATAGACGGGATTGCCTTTCTCTGTACCACCTACATTATTGTTGACTAGGTTATGCGAGTTTGTTGCCATATATGATTTAATGGAGCCTTTCATTTCTGAAAGAAAGTTAATATTGTCTTGTTAATAATCCTTGTTTATAACCTTCCAAATCTTAAACAGGACATTATTTTTCTCCCTGTACATTGCTGACGCTTTTTTGGTTGTGTTGTAACATTGGCTGACTGTTAGAGCAGGACAGAAGGAGAATAGAGAGTGATTTCTTTGGTGGGAAGCTCTGTGGTATTGCTGCTACAAATGCTCTTGAGTTGGGTATTGATGTTGGACACATTGATGTAACTTTGCATTTAGGTTTTCCTGGTAGTATTGCCAGGTACTGTTCTTTGTCATTTCTGTCCTTTGTTGGTTATTTAACTATTTGCTTCATAATTTTGATTGGGCTGCTTTTTTCTTTTGTGTTTAGCCTGTGGCAACAAGCTGGCAGGTCTGGAAGAAGGGAGAAACCATCTCTTGCTGTATATGTTGCATTTGAAGGACCTCTTGATCAATATTTTATGAAATTTCCTCAGAAACTCTTCAATAGCCCAATTGAGTGTTGTCATATTGATGCTGAAAACCAGCAGGTTTGGATTTTTCTTTCATTGACATTTTGTTTAAATTTAAATTAGCCATGGGTTATAACCAATCTGCAAAGTTATGCTTATCTTTTCTGATGTGATAAATTAAGGTACTTGAGCAGCATCTGGTCTGTGCTGCTCTTGAACACCCAGTAAGTTTGGTTTATGATGAGAAATACTTTGGATGTGGTCTAAGCATTGCCGTTCTAACTCTTAAAAGTAGAGGATACCTCAGTTCTGATCCATCACGTGAATCTTCTGCTAAATTATGGAGGTACATTGGGCATGAGGTATATTATTTCAATGCATAGTTTTGTACTTGTTTAAATATCTCTTCTCCTTTCTTGCTTGGTAAAGTACAAAGTGTCATCTTCTTTTTAAAAGTTTTGTATGTTTCCTATTTCAAGAAAATGCCTTCACGTGCAATTAGTATACGGGCAATAGACACGGTGAAATACAAAGTAATAGACATGCAAAAAGATGAAGTTCTTGAGGAGATTGAGGAAAGCAAAGCTTTCTTCCAGGTAGTTAAGTTCTAATAGTAATTTCTCATGTAATTTTTGGTTATTACTAGGAATTGTTCCTTGATCCCTTTTTATGTCATAGACAACTAGTATATTCTGACCTTATTATGATTCAATATTCAGGTATATGAAGGTGCTGTGTACTTGCACCAAGGCCATAACTATCTGGTCAAGGAGTTAAATATATCTGATAAGATTGCCTTTTGCCAAAAAGCTGATCTGAAGTATTACACAAAGACTCGTGACTACACAGATATTCATGTTGTTGGTGGTAATATTGTATGTCAACTCTTGACTGTCAGACCTGTTTTTCTTTTACCACTTTGTAAATGACATCTGTGAATTGTGCATCTTTCGTACTGTCGTCTTGCCCTTCATTTAACAGATATTTGGAAACAACTGGTAAATCTATATCATGCTATTCAGTTTTGATTTATATATAATTAATCAGGCACAATAATGGCTTATAGTTGGAACCTTGTTTATTTGAATCATAGAATTCTTGAAATATGTGAACCACAATTTGTTAATAAAGTATTTACATTAAAATCCTTATGTTATAGTTCTCCTATTATGTATTTAGGACCTTATCTCACAAGTAGTATGAAGTCCTAGGAAATATGACAATGTAGTGATAGAAGATAAATTTTATGCTTCAATAGTTACTGTTGTAATTCCTGATAAAAGTTTTATGTATACCATACCATGGGAAGCCTCAATATTGAAAAATATCACATTGAATTAGTGGAGTACCACAGATACTTTATTCAAATTAAAGAGATGAAAAGGTAATGTATTAATTAACAACACTCACCATCTACCACTATCCTGAAGAGAACCCCATAGCCTGAATAATCTTTGGTAATCCACTAGCTTAAACCAACTCCAACTACTTCGAAAAATTTGTGTTTAAAGGTTTAGGAACTTTTGTTCATGAAGGCATGAGATGCTACTTGATGCAGCCAAAGAGCAAACTCTACTCAAAGTCTATTGATATGAAAAAAAAATCATCTTTTTTATTTTAAATGTAATTATCAATAAGTTCTTTTGTTGTTTTGTCATGAGAGCTTCAAAATACTTTAGAGTACTTGGAGGGTTAGTTGGGACTGCTATTGACTAACACAGTTTTTCTGCATTTGCTTGATGGAATTTCCAAATATTGTTCAATCTCCATTGCATTTTTATCATGATTCCTGTCAAATAATTACTTGGAGGAGTATTTTCTGAGTTCTTAAAATGGTCAAAATGTTGGGACTGCTACGGTTAACATACTTTTTCTAAATTTGCTCTGAGGGAATTTGCAAATGTTGTTGAATCTCTATTGCATTTTAAAAGTGATACCTGTCAAATAGCGATATCTGAATTGCTCTTGAGCTACTTGTTCTGACTTTGTTTAGGCCTATCCGTCAAAGGGTTCCAACAGCCAGTTGCTAAGAACAACAGCCCAAGTCAATGTTTGTAAAGTAACAACTACTTGGTTTGGTTTTCATCGGATATGGAGAGGAAGCAGCAAAATCTTCGATACAGTTGAACTTCATCTGCCTAAATATTCATATGAATCACAGGTTCTCTTAAGGACATTATATGAAATTTACTTCTAATTATTATTTTTTGTGTTGCTGCTCTGTCACACACACACACATATATAAACAAAACAACTACTGGTTACTTCATATATATATATATATGAAGTAACCAGTAGTCGTTTTGTTTCCATAGTCTAATGGAGAATATTTCTCATTACATGCATACAGGCAGTTTGGATTCAAGTTCCACAATCGGTGAAAGCATTGGTGGAAAAACAATTTTCATTCCGCTCAGGCCTGCATGCTGCCTCTCATGCTCTTCTACATGTAGTGCCTATGTAAGCATTTTAAATTCTATAATCTTATGAAAAATTAAGCTACTGTCTGTCTGATTTCTGTCAGATTGATGTTTGGACATTAAGATTGTCTTGAAACTCTGCTTGATGATGTCTGTAACGATTATTTCTAATGTGCAAGTATTTTTCTGTGCATTTTTAGGACTGAACTGACTGAAAAAACTCATTGCTTAGTGGGATTCTGTTATTATTTGCTGCTTGCTGTTGTTTTTACAAGTTGTTCGGCTTACTAATTACTAACACTATTGTTCCTAGGCTGTGTATCTGACTGCTTTGTAATTCTTTGGCATGTAGATTTTTGAGATGCAACTTATCCGACTTGGCTCCAGAGTGTCCAAACCCTCATGATGCTCGCTATTTTCCAGAAAGAATTCTATTGTATGATCAGCATCCCGGTGGGACTGGTGTTTCAAAACAGGTGACTAAATGAAATAGAATTTGATTAATTTAAAGAAGGCATTGACTTCAATGTGTGAAGTTGATTTAATTCAATTCTTGATAATACTTCAAGCTTTAAATAAATTAATGATATTTGATTCAAAGCAATTTTTAATTGGGCAGCAACTGTTAGCTCACAAGTACGTTTGGCGTTAGGCCAGTGATATTTCATCCCCTTATGCATAATAAATTTAAGCTAATAACGTTTGATTCTCCATGATTCACAAATTATCTTTTTGATGAGTGGCGGCCATTTTCTGATCTTATCTTCTCCTGAATGAAGGAGATGCATTTGTTATTGCTAACGTGGTTTATATGGATGTATGCTAGATTCAACCGTATTTTACAGAGCTTTTAACTGCTGCTTTAGAACTTCTAACATCTTGCCTCTGCTCGGGAGACACTGGCTGCCCCAATTGCATTCAGGTCCATCTGAATCATCACTTGCTTATAATGTATTATGTCTCTGCAACTTGCAGTAAGAGTAATATATAACATTTTTACTCTTTATGTGCAGAATCTCAGTTGTCATGAGTATAATGAGCTCATACACAAGGATGCAGCCATCATGATTATGAAGGTTCGGCTTTGAAACTCACGGACCCAAATGTCTGCTATTTTTATTTTCAGCTACTGAGTAATCTTTTGCTTGTACAGGGTGTTTTGGATGCTGAGAAATCATACTTTCAAAATCTCCCAGACTCTTCTGAATCCCCAACAGTGGAGGTTAACCAGAACATTGATAATTAAAATTTACTCCATACCAATGTAGATCCTCTCTTTGTTAACAGCCAAAAGCCCAAAAGCTTAACAGTTTTGTCTTCCATGTAAAATTAGTGTCGATAAAGGGTGGCATTTGATGAGTATTCATTGCCAAAGTAAGGAAAATATGTTTTTACGTCTTCTTGTTTTATGTGGTTGAGTTAATATCCATTTCTTACAATTTTTATGCAAAAAGTAAATCTTCAAAAAATGGCCCATGTAGGTTTTGAACCTGCGATCTTCGCGTTATTAGCATGACGCTTTAACCAACTGAGCTTAGACTTGGCAAAACGGGCGGGTGGGTCGGGTACGGGTTGGGTCTCGTGGGTATGGGTCTCACGGATACGGGCTCAAAACGGGTTGATTTAAATGGGCCCAATATTTTGGACCCACACTCTACCCTATACGGGTATGGGTGGACCCGCGGGTGTCTGTACTGTTCACACCAGTTTTAGATTTTTGCAGTTACACCCCTAAATCTTCCTAAAATCTTTATTTTTGAGCAAAATTTGTCACCAACCAAACAGAAAAAAGAAACCCACGTTTTCTCCCAAGTTTTCTCACTAGCCAAACAGAAACCCAGAACCTAGCAAAGAAAAAGATTAGAAAACTTTATTGATTTCCTTTCATTCCTCATCAACCAAATAAGCCCATATAATAAAATCTGAAAAAAGAAAAAATTTACAGAAGAAAAGCAACAATTTGAGAATGAATTGACTTTGCAAACAAGCAAAATTGAACAGATCTGAGTATCCTCTTTTACTGTTTAGTTTTTGAAACTTTTATCGCAGATTCTCCACTCTTCAGTCTTCATCCCAACCGAAACCTAACTTTGACTTTAATCACCTCCACTTCCACTCACTTCCACTCCCTATGTCCCACATGCCACCTGCTGCCCTTGCCTCATCACTGATCATTGCCCCTGTCTCATCACTAATCACTGCCACGAATATCAACTTCTGAGTTTCACCTCTCTCTTCTCAAATATAATACAAGAGACTTACAAAAATACACCTCAGATTATACACAATTATCGAAGATGTCTGAAGGTAAAAGAACGGAGCCAGAGAAGAGGAAACTGGGGCAAAACGACGACAGCGAATCTGGGTCACAAAAAAGGTGCAAGAAGTTAACAGAGAAGGGATGACTGTGACAGAGGAGAAGCAAAACGAAGATAGGAGAAATGGCGACGATGAGTTTGAGAGGAGAAGCTGCGACGATGAGTTTGAGAGAGTTAGGGATTTTGTGATTTGGGGCAAAAACATGGCCAAACCCCAATTTAGAATTTAGGGTATCCCTACAAAATGAAAAGGGTAAAAACAAACAGGTGCCCGCGGGTGTACCCGTTTAACCCGTTGGAAAACGGGTTGGGCTGGGTACGGGTAGAAGAAAAAAGGGTCAAATATTAAAGACCCACACCCTATATTTTTTACCCAGGTTTAGGTTCGACCCGCGGGTCCAGACCCATTTTGCCAGGTCTAACTGAGCTAATAGGCCGGTTGACCCATATTAGTCATATAACCAAACAGTCAAATTTCTATTCATATATCATATTAAGGTTTTCAAGCTCACCCACGATTTATGAAAGAGTAATGCTACAGTTACCGAAGGATGTGTACCGAATGACGTGACAAAATCTTGACCGTTGATTCATTATAAGTTAATATTAATCAACGGTCAAGATTTTGTCACGTCATTCGGTACACAAATTCGATGTGTAACTTTCGGTAACTCTATCATTTTCCTTTCTAAAAATTATTATATAATATATCCCCTTGAAATTTATCTCCTTGAATTTATCATTTATCTCTTACAAGGAGCATATAATACTTGAGTACATAAAAATGGTGGATGTACTCTAAATTAGATAATCTGTAATGGGTGGAAATAAAAACTTGCCAAATGACTTAGAATCATGCATTATGATAATGTATGGAATATGAAAAATGTTATCCTTACAAAGACTCATACAAAGAGGGTTACAAAGTGACATCATCCAGAAGAAAAAAAATAAAAAAAAAAAGGGAAAAGAGAAAAAGAGAAAGAGAGAAAATCAGGGTGGAGATTATCTTTGTATACCTTTGCATATATCTTTGAAAACTAGTATTACCCATGGAGGGATAATATCAGCACACAAAATAAAAGATGGGGAAACAACATGAATATTATTATTATACAATATTCTTATTCCATTGGAAATTGGCCGCCCTGACCTCATCTCTCATTTGCTTTTATTAAAAATCCAACATTTTGAATGCATATACAGCCCTCAATAATTTGATCTTCTCCAAATTCAACAATCAGCATAAAACCAAAGGTTCACTTCACTATTATTTCCCAAGATTATACTTTTTTAGGTCACATTCTTCATATATTGTTCCAATTTTAATAAACAATTTCAAGTTGCAAAATAAAATATAGGCAGTTTTTAAAATATAGAATAGATGATGCATAACAGTCTATCTGAAATTTCGAGAAGCAAAATTAATGAAATTACTTATTTTGTTAATGTGTTAATTATTATATTATATGTATTAATATGTAATTGCACCATTAATAATTCTTTTTAAACTTAAATCGAATGATCCATTTGATATAGGGGTAATATTATCAGTTACTTTTTACCCAGTGTAAAACTGAAATACAGTTATTCAACACTACGTCCTACGTAGTACAAGATGATTTGTTCCTTCCCTCCAATCTCCATTTCTCTATAAACAGTCAAACGACGTGTCATTTCCTCAACTCCATCTCTCTTAACTGAATGATCGAAAGTTGGTTCGTTGAGTGAGAGAGTGGAAAAAATGGGGTGGGCCATAGCTTTACACGGCGGCGCCGGAGACATCCCACGCTTTATGCCGGAGGAGCGTCGCCAGACACGCGAAGCCGCTCTCCGCCACTGCCTTGACATCGGTGTCAACGCTCTCAAACCCGACGACACGCCTTGGATGTTGTCGAACTGTGGTACCTCCGTATCTCTTCGCATATACTCTTTTGTTTGTTCTTTTAAACGATTATTATTTAAATCTGCAAAGGCAGCAAAGCTATTTGCCTGTCAAAAAGTCATATTTTTGTTTATTTAAGAATGAAAAAGTATTATATAAATTTAGAAAAGAATGGATTAACACTATGATTATAAAATTAGTATATATGTTATCTACTGTTGGTGACGAAACTTATTAATCAACGTAATTATCATTAGTTTGTTCAAAGATAAACAGTAGTATGTTTGTTCCTTCTTTATTCTTGATGAAATTGCTGAGATTATATTCAATTTTTTTTTACTATTTTTTGGTGCAAAATAGACTTCTACTTATGAATAGTGATATTTCTTTACATATATAAAATACTCTGAGGTTGACAAATCTGTAAGATGCTATGTATTTTGAATTGATGAAGGAAATGTATGATTGTGGGAAAATAATTGCATAATACAATAATGCAAAGAAAGATTTTAGTTGTTTTTGAATGAGCCTGCTGTATGGTGAATCATTGAATAGTTGTCGACTTGATAGTCATTTTGTGTTTATTATTCCTGATTTTGCTCTTAATAGGTTCGTGAACTAGAAAACCATCCAAACTTTAATGCGGGTAGGGGGTCTGTATTAACCACCAAAGGTACAGTTGAGATGGAAGCTTGCATAATGGATGGCAACACAAGAGATGTGGAGCTGTTCTGGACTCACCACTGTTGTTAATCCCATATCTCTGGCACGACTTGTCATGGAGAAGACTCCTCATATTTATCTTGCATTTGATGGAGCAGAGGATTTTGCTAGGGAGCAAGTTAGTTACAATCTTACTCTGCCTTCTCTATGTTGTTTAGGTTAAGCTCATACCTGTATAGCTGAGGGCCTGTCCTTTTTCGCTCTATTTAAATTTGAAGTGTTTACATGCAAACTTGCTTGCATGGAGCTCGTGTTGGTTCCCCTACGTTTCATTAACTATTTTCTTATTGTGGTGACACTGCTCTGAACTTGTCTCATTATCATTAAAGTAAAATAGTTGTAAGCAAATTTTCTCAGAAGTTATGCAATATAATGTTGTTGTATACAATTCGATGTACTCTTATTTTTCTAATTTGTGCGCTCTTCACGTTGTTTTCCTTGAAACATATGTTTGTTGGAAGAAGATCTCCACATTGTTGTTTCCCTGATTTTGAACAATACCTAAAGATGCATGTATACACAGTACTTCCACATTATTTAGTAGTTGTTTAATCAAATTGAAAAATGAGAGGTAATTTTCTTTCCTTACCTGAAGAAACCTCTTTATCAAACTTTCTGTCTAAATGGAAATGTTTTTCTAGTTTTGTGTGAACTAGATCTCTTGAAGCCTTTTCTTTTCTTTTTCTTTTTTACATAAATAGTTTGTTCCTGAATTTCCATACGCTAGCTGTGTATTTTTCTCTAATAGTTTGAGTTGAATTTTGATCATCTTTTGTTGTTCACTTTGTTAGGTGTATCCTACTAGCATTTATTAGATGTGTGCTTGATCTTGACTAATTGTCACATATGGTTGTGATTTTTAATTGTCCAGGGTGTTGAAACTGTAGATCCAAGTCATTTATTACACCAGAAAATGTTGAAAGGTTAAAGCAGGCAAAAAAGCCAATAGAGTTCAGGTATGCTTGTTATCTCTTTTCCTAGAAATGTAGATAAATGAGATTCAGAACTCTGATGCTTTTAACTTTTCAAATAATTTTTTACTTGTTAGTTATCTCATTTATCTGCTTGTTGAATTTTACTACCATTAAGGTTGCCCATCTGTTTGATGTTCCTGTGGTTTTGATAGAAAGTAGAAACCTAGTATGAAAATATTGTACTTAGCATGGTTTGATAACTGAGGATAATATCAGTGTGATGCACTGACTTATATAATTGCAACTTTCATCATTTGGCATATTGTAATGTATTTTTGGTTATGTTTCTTAACCAGGGTATTATTTTTGGTGTCTTGGCTTAACTTTAATGTCCGCATGCCTGAAAACTGATTTTTATGGTTTTCCTATTTACATGCTTGTAATGTAAT